CCCTTCTAGATCGTTGGTTGTTGAGTTCTTATTCAACCAATGGTATGAAACTAGGCCTAAACCAAATAAAACTGTTTCAATGAAATGTTTTTAATTTTTTTATTAAAATATTGAAATTATTCACACACTGAGGTTATAAAAATTTAGAATTTCCAAGATGGAGTTATAATTTGTACTTAACTGTTTTGTAAAATAAAGGAATAAGTATGAAGTTCAGGATCCAGAACCATCCAGAAAGAGTTTCGCAAGAAATTGAATCCCAATCGTTGCATCAAGAGTGGGTCGTCTAGTAACAGGTCATAAGTCACGGGCACAAAACTCAATCCTCAATCACTTGTAAAAGTCGTCCACATACACTTGGCAACAATACGCAACGTAATGAAGAAGGATTTCTGCCTGGAACTGTTATAAATCTTACGTGTTCTTAAGGTCATAAGTCACGGACACAAAACTCAATCCTCAATCACTTGTAAAAGTCGTCCACATACACTTGGCAACAATACGCAACGTAATGAAGAAGGATTTCTGCCTGGAACTGTTATAAATCTCACGTGTTCTTAAGTTACTTCCAAGATATGTTGTATACTTCAAGCAGCGATAGCATGAAACGGGTATTCACAATATTCCATATGAAGACATACTGGTTAAGTCGCCGGACACAACGCACTGTTGAAATACACATTCGGAACCATCTTTACGTAGACTGGATGGTTCATGGGAAGCATTCGCGGAGGAGTGGTGTGATTTGCAGATGACAACGTTTTGTTTATTGTCAAAATGTTCGATCGTCATACAGAGCATTACCGGACGTGAAGATGTGGCGAGGCTTCAAAATCGTGTGCAACTTCCGTAATATATATATATATATATATACTGAAAAAAATACTCCAATTTTGGAAAATGCATAAAACACTTGGTTAAATGACATACGTAAAAAATATAAGGATATTTATAAGCAACGTCTTTTTAAATATTAACGTCCTTCTAATTAAATACTTACCTTCAAGTTAAATCTCCCCAGTGAGTACTCCTAGAAATTTCTATTAGCGAATCACTCTAACTAGCTGCCTCTATGAATAATATTTTGGGTACACGACTGGCCTTTAAATGTATTTGGTAATAGTACCATATCTCGTATATAACAGCCGTAATTTATTACTTCCGTAATGGCTTTGTTTTAATATTTCTGTTAGATATTACGTATTTCGAACGTAGGACAATCAATCTCTCTTATCAGCGGGTTGGCAAGATGGGCACAAGAACAAATGTGAAGTGTTAAACAGTATTTTAATTAAAATAATAAAAATTCTTATATTTCATTGTCTGAGAGCAAACAGTTGAACATATATTACACCGAAATAACTTTAAGTCTTATGTCTTAACATTTCTGTGTTTGCTAGAGTGAAAGAAAAAAATATTAGTATTGTAGTGTTAACATACATTACAACGCGATAATTTTAGCCTCACATTTTATCGTTTGTGTAGAAACTGGAGTAAAACAGGAGGGAAACTACAATAACCGCGGCACGTCAATTCTTTTAGGCAGGATTAGGGTAAATTAACCTATTGGTCTTTTTGTTCCTTTTTATTAGCTATATTTACGTGCGCCAGCAATACCAAGCGTGAGGCGCGCGTATACCCGATTCAGTTTTATTACTCATCAGGTTCTCTACCAGCCTACCCTCAAATTGAAATTCTTTTAGGCAGGATTAGAGTACATTAATGTGTGAGACCTTGGGCACGGTCTAATATATCAATCAAAAGGGTTTGACCTCCTAGGTCCAAAACTGTAATTAGATCTCGAATCGTCAAGAGATGAGAGAGCTATGAGTTAAAAGTTTGTACTCGAAAAAGAAAAAAATTGAGTGGTTCTATGAGCCGTTATGCCGCGGCTAAAAATTGATTAGTGTTATATTGTTATAGCTACTGTGCGAGAAAGTTATATTTCAGTTTCGTTTCGCAGATTGTATTAATTTTTCTATTTTCGGCTTATGTAAGTCCCAATTTTCAGTTATTTTTGTTTATAGGCTCTTGGAAGACTGGGTAGATTATGAACATTCCCTGGGCCTACAATAAGTGTTGAAATGAGGAGATCAGTGGTGTTGACATTGATTTCCGAAACATGGTCGTTGAAGTTCTTGTGAAAAGAGATTGCGTTCTGTTGCAAGTGTACAAGAACTTATTACGTTACAAGCATTTGGAGTCTAATATTGATCGTGAGCTGCTAACCCTAGTAAAAATGGTAGTAAATTAAAGGTGAGTGCTGGAAATGTTTGATACATTAGTTCCCGATAGTATCTTTCTATCTCGGTTATTTTTTATAGTTAAACTGCCTGTAGAACAAGCATCGTGTGGTTTGCTTAAACATTTTTCTTGTAGTCTTCTTAACCTTCGTGGCTTGTGACTTTATCATTACACTGGTTTGTAGAAATAAACAAAACTTGTTATACCTCAAGAAGCAAGTATTATACTACGTGAAACGTGTTGCTGATGTTTAAAAAAATATTATATATATAGACGAAATGTATGTTTGTTTGCACCCTAACTTCTCCGATTCTATTGAGCCAATCCCAACCGAGATTTGTATATGAATATTATAAACTATGGGGAACATCCTAAGCGGGTCAAAATTGAGCCTAATCCTATTTTGTAAAGCCCGTTGGTTAATTACTCTCAACCTATTTAGTCAATCTCAAACAATTTTTGGCAGGTTGACTCTTTAGACAATGTTGAATATTCTAAAGGGATTCAAGGTCAAAGTATGAAGGTTGCTAGATTGTTTCTCAAACAACCATGCTTTTCTCATTGTCAATTATATTTAGGGTGTTTAAGGGTGGGATCACCTCAAAATCTTTATTTGTTGGTAGATGGATAGCAAACTGCGAATGTTGTGTATGAAGAAGCTTTGTTATAATTTTAACATTTTGAAATAAAGTTTATTTTCAATTATTACTTTGAAATATATGATTGCTGTGAAACTTACATTGTTTTAATTAAGTTTCAACATACCCCGTCAGTTAACGGGTATTTCAGTTTGTACCATATAAAACTCTATTTGTGCCGCAGCAAGAATGGAATATTTTACTATTTGTGGCATATCATTTATGTTAAGCAGGAAGGAACTATTATAATATATAAAGTAAATTATGTTTGTTGTAGCTGCTAAACATTACACAACGTTCTCTTTAAAACAGCCAAATGTTTCTTGGATTCAACTTTAATACACAAAGGATAAGACAAACTATTTAATTTTCAAGTTGAGGTATTCAAGACTTTAAGTCACAACGTAATTTTTTTCTGTAAAATATTCCAATGTTACGTAGTAATAGAACTGACTGAGAGCGTCTGCAACTACATATTCCATGTTGCAACAAATCGGCAGAGAAGGTGGCAACTACATAATGTACGTTGCAACAAATCGGCTGAGAAGGTGGCAACTACATAATGTACGTTGCAACAAACAGATTGAGAAGGTCGGCAACAACATATTTCATGTGGCAACAAATCGGCTGAGAAGGTGGCAACAGCATATTCCATGTTGCAACAAATCGGCTGAGAAGGCCGGCAACAACATATTCCATGTTGTAACAAATCGGCTGAGAAGGCCGGCAACAACATATTCCATGTTGTAACAAATCGGCTGAGAAGGCCGGCAACAACATATTCCATGTTGCAACAAATCGGACTGAGAAGGCCGGCAACAACATATTCCATGTTGTAACAAATCGGCTGAGAAGGTGGCAACAACATATTCCATGTTGCAACAAATCGGCTGAGAAGGCCGGCAACAACATATTCCATGTTGTAACAAATCGGCTGAGAAGGCCGGCAACAACATATTCCATGTTGTAACAAATCGGCTG